GATGGGCGCAAGACTTATCAGGGGGCAAACTTTTCATAAATTTCATAAATGTCTACCACTATATTGTACACTTGAATCCAATATAGTATTTAATGTCAACTGTAATTGAAAATTAAAAAAAAATAGTCCTGGCTGGTGTGGCTCAGTGGAATGAGCACCAGCCTACAAACCAAAGTGTTGTTGGTTCAATTCCCAGTCAGGGTGCATACCTGGGTTGAGGGCCAGGTCCCTAGTAGGGAGCATGCAAGAGGCAACCACACACTGATGTTTCTCTCCCTTTCTTTCTCCTCCCTTTCCTTCTCTCTAAAAATAAATAAAATATTTTTAAAAATTTTTAACTTAACCAAGGTGTGAAATACTTGTACAATGAAAACTACAAAATGTCACTGAAAGTATTTGAAAATAGACAAATAAATGGAAAAACACTCTATGTTCATGTACTTGAAGACTTAATACTGTTAAGATATCAATACTATGTAAAGCAATCTGCAGATTCAATGTGATCCCTATCAAAATCCCAATAACATTTTTGCAGAAATATAAAAAAAAAGTCCTAAATTCATATGGAATCTTAAGGGACCATGAATAGGACAGTCTTTTCAACAAATGATTCTGTGATAACTGGATATACACATACAAAAGAATGAAGTTAGACCCTTATCTAATACCACATACATAACAACTCAAAATGGAGCAAAGACCTAAAAGTATGAAACTTAGAAGAAAACATAAGGAAAAAGCTTCACAACATTGGATTTGGCAAAGATTTCTTGGATATGACATCAAAAGCACAAGCAACAAAAAAAAAGTAGACAAAATGAACTTCATGACAATTAAATCAGAAAATATCCAGAATATATAGAAACCTAAAAATCAACACTGAAAATAAAAAATGATTCAAAATAGGTGAAGGACTTGCACAGACCTTTCTGCAAAGAATATAAGTACATGACAAAATGCCTGACATCAGTAATTGTAAGGAAATGCAAATCAAAACTGTAATGAGCCCTGGCCAGGTAGTTCAGTTGACTGGAGCATCCTCCTGATACGCCAAGCTGGCAGGTTCTATCTCTGGTCAGGGTACATGCAGAAAACAACCAATAAATGCATAACTAACAGGAGCAACAAATTGATGTTTCTCGTTTTCTCTCTCTGAAATCAATAAATAAAAATTTTTTTAAACGATAATAAGATTCCACCTCCCAACCATTAAAATTGTTACTATTTTAAAAAATCCAGAAATTAACAACTGTGACAAGAATGTGGAGAAACTGGAACCCTTGTGCACTGTTGGTGGGAATATAAAATAGTATAGCTGCTATAGAAAACAATATGGCAGTTCTTAAAAAAATAAAAAATAGGATTACCATATGATCTAGCAGTTTCATTTTGAGGCATATACCCAAAAGAAATAAAAGCAGGATCTCAAAGAGATATTTGTACACCCATGTTCACAGATGCATTTTCATAATAGCCAAAATGTGGAAGGCATTCTGAATGTCCATTGATGGATAAATGGATAAGCAAAATGTGACATACAATGGAATATTACTCAGCCTTAAAAAGGAAGGAAATTCTGCAATATGCTACAACATGGATGAAACTTGAGGACATTGTGATACTAAGTGAAATAAGCCAGTCACAAAATGACAAAAACTGTATGATTCCACTTATATGAGCTACCTAGAATAGTCAAAAGCACAGAGACAGAAAGGAGAATAGAGGCAGCTAGAACATTAGGGGTGGGGGAATGGGGAGTTGTTTAATAGGTATAGAGTTTCAGTTTTACAGTTTACAAGATGAAAAGAGTTATGGAGATGGATGATGGTGCACAACATCAAGAATGTACTTAAAAACACTTAACTGTAGATTTTAAAATGTTTAAGATGGTCCTGGCAGGGTAGCTTGGTTGGTTAGAGCATCATCCTGATATGCCAAGATTGTGGGTTCAATTCCTGGTCAGAGCACATGCAAGAAGCAACCAATGAATGCATAAATATGTGGAACAACAAATCAATGCTTCTCTCTCTAAAATCAATAAATTAAAAAATTAAATTTAGCCCAACTGCATATTGATGTTTCTCTCCCACTCTTTCTCCCTCCCTCCCCTTTTTTAAAATAAATAAATAAAATATTTTTTAAAAAGAAATAAAAAATTATATTTAAAAAAATAGTTAAGATGAACCTTAACAGACATCTCTCCCACGAAGACATACAAATGGGCAATAGACATATAAAAATATATTCAACTTCACTAGCTACTAGGGAAATGCAAATGAGAACTACAATGAGATACCACCTCAAATTGTTAGAATGGCCATTATCAACAACACGGGTAATAACAAGTGTTGGAGAGGCTGCAGAGAAAAAGGAACCCTCATTCGCTGCTGGTAGGAATATAGATTGGTATAGCCACTATGGAAAACAGTATGGTGGTTCCTCAAAACATTAAGAATACAGTTACAATATGATCCAGCAATCTCTCTTCTACATACAAAACTCAAAAACATGCAAGTACAAAGATATATGCACCTGTGTTCATTGCAGCATTATTCACCATGGCCAAGACTTGGACAACCAAAGTGTCTTTCAGTAGAGGATTAAATAAAGAAGATGTGGTACACATATACAATGGATGCTACTCAGCCATAAGATGAAATACTGCCATTTGCAACAACATGGATGGATCTTGAGAATATTATGCTAAGCGGAGTGTCAGAAAAAGCTAAGAACCATATGATTTCACTCATATGTGGGATATAAACTGAAACTCATAGACACAGACAGACAACAGCATGGTGGTTACAGAGGGAAGAGGTAGAGGGGGTATTAAAGGATAAAGGGACCAAATATATAGTAACTCTGTAAAACAATCTGACTTTGGGTGGTGGGAACACAATGCACTATACAGATCAAGTATCATAAACATGTACACCTGAAATATGACATAGACATATGACCGTATGAATCAATGTTACCCCAATAAATTTAATCACAAATGGTTAAGTTGGTAAATTTTATGTGTATTTTATTGCAATTTTTTTTACATTCATAAGAACACTTTTCTTTGTTATATCTCCATTGATAGAATTTCTAATTGTGAAAAATAAACATCATAAAAACATACAAACTAAATTGTAAATACAGTACTTTCTCTGTAAGCAAATGAAAAATCTTATCAATATTGCAATTTTTTTAATTGGGGGAAAAAACATAACACAAATTCATACCAATTAGATTGCAAAAATGTCAAAGGCTGACAAAACCAGGTATTAGTAGGTATGTTTCTTACACTGATGATAGGGATGTAAACTGATCAATATTTATGGAGGGCAATTTGGCAATAATGTAGTGAAGCTGAATTTGCAACTTGGCAATTCCATTTCTATGTGGGGATCCCAAAGAAACTATTGCACATGAATAAGGAGGGATGCACAAAGATGTTCACTGCAGCACTATACATTAGAGCCACACAATACAAGCTCCACATTGCAATCAATTAGAAATAGATCTATATCCCAACTGAGGCGGAGGTCGGACTCTGTTCTGCAGAGTACTCTCCGGGTCGTTGCAGATGGGGAAATAAAATAAGTTGTCCCAGACACTTTTCTCTCAATCTACCAGGGAAAGGGGTGGGACCTTCCTCTAGTGGAGAAGGCTCTGAGCCCCTGTGTCCAATGATTTTACTGAAAGGGTTATCAATGGGGGCTAGGTATTTAGGAATGTTCAGGTGATCTTATTACATCAGTATGTGAATGTTTACAGAGAATAGATGATGTTTTGAAGAAAACAAACGGCAGGAACACACCGATTTACATGGGTCCGAAACAGGAGGAGTAAACATAAGAGTGTAAACATAAGAGTGCCAAAGGGTTTAGTGTCAGGGTCTGCGAATAGTGTAAACTTCCTTCCCAGCATAAGCTGGTTATCATAGCTTTTGAGGGAAAAACAAAGCATGCTTCAAAGAGTGTGGTTTACTGCTAGGCCTGATTTCCCCTGGGAACCACTGGATCCAGTTTAGGGCTGTCTCCAGTATTGTTTCAAGCCTGAGCCAGGCTGGGGAATCAGAGCCATCAAGAGATAAGGAGACTTCTTTCACATAGAATGAGGACCCCAGCCATGTCAAAGCAGAGGGGTGAGGGTCTTTTGCCCTTTCTCTATGTCCCCCAAGTCCTTCCCTGATGCTCATACAGCTGCTCCTGTTTTAGGTTGCCTCTGCCATCAAGGGGTCTTACCCATCATTGACTAACCAGCTATCATTCAGGACCAAGCAGGGTGATGTGAGTGAGGCAGGGGCTGCGTCCCTGCCAGGGGGACAGGTTTTGCCTTCTCAGTGGCCTATTTTCCCAAGGCCTCCTTACTTAGCTCCAGTCTTGGGGCCCTCTCACCTGTCAGCGGGGCTACAGTTCCTGAAACCAGACGGGATGTTTCCCAACACCCAACTAACAATCAAGATAAATTAGATCTTCAAATTTAGACACAGGAGAAATATTTCAAAAATATAATTTTAAGCAAAAAAAAAGCATATTGTATAATGATTGTACATTATAGTACAATTTGTGTAAATGTTTAAACCACACATTATTTTGAGATGCCTGAATATGCAGTAAAAATGTAAAAATATAGAAGCAGTTATCTTTGGGGAAGGAAAGAAATGAGATCAGGATGGAGTATAAAAGAGGAGTACATCTGTGGGAGTAATATTTATGTTAAATCTGAGTGGTGAGTACATGGGTTTTTATTAGTATTACCATATATTTGTTAGATGTTTGATATATTTTACTAAAACAAGAAGACTCAGAACACGAGTTTTCCAGGAACTTGTAGATTTAATCTGGGATGATTTCCAAGTTACATAAATGAGTAGCAGCATTTTAAGCTATGCCCAATAAGTCTAACAGATTTCTAAAATTATTTATTCCCCTATCCCCAAAAGTTTGTTGATTCATCAAAAATAATGTTTGAAAGATGCTATCTATAAATTGTTAAAAAGTACTTACCCAATAAACAAAGATAGTTGGATTCAGTCAATCTGGATAGTTTTGTGACCTGATTCAAGATGTTGTAAAGTTCTGTTGGTTCACATAAAACCAACCTGGCCATCCTATTGGGAAGAAGCAATGATGTAAAGCTTCATTTTATTTTAAATGAGTGGTCAAAAAGTAAGATATTGAATTAAATTCTTCCTTAATACAACTTCAAGAAAAGATGAAAGTGACCATGAATGTGATCAGGAAAGTTTCAAAATTTTATAGTGAAATGCGTATAGAAAATATTGAACACAACATATAAAGCATGTAACAAGTAGGCTGTAAAATAGTTTCCAATTCATTTGTTCTTTTATCATATAGTTACTGAGCACCTATTACATGCCGGACACTACAAATACGTATGGTAAACGACCTTCATGAAGGCTACAGTCTAGTGTAGAATGCAGACATTGGACAAAAAATACAAGTAGGAAAAGCACTATAAGAAAGTCAGCATCCCATGTATAAAGTAGAGCTAATGAGAGGGCTTAACCTAGCTGGGGGGATCAAGGGGGGGCTGTCTGAGATGTGACTGCTAAGCTAAGGCAGGAGGCTAGGCAATACTTAGCCAGGTGGAGGAGGGAGAGAGGGTGAAAAAGAAGGCAAGAACATTCAGTACCTTAGAGAGTTCAAGACCCTGATATGGCAAGAGCAGGGAGAGAGTGGTAAGTGAAGACCCTGAGGAGTCTTATAAGGATTATGAAGGTCAGTGTTGCATGGAGAATTGCTTAGGTGCTTTAACAGAACTGCCGGCCAACTTGGGCTCTGGCTCCTAACTGCAGAGCTGCACTTGAGACACTGGTTCCTGAGCATGACTGTCTCTGGTGCTCCAAGGACACTGAAGGGGATGTGCTGTGCTTGTGCAGGAGCTCCCTGCTGGGAAGTCTCCTTTTAGCAGGGGTCGGGGCTGTAAGGAACTACCCAGCACCAGCAGGGGACAGGTGAAGTTGATGAGTCCAGAGGTAGGTAATCTTGATCAAAAACAGTTAGGGCCCACTTCAGAGTTGTCAGTATGATGCTCCAGGGAAAGGCCAAACCCTCACATGGGCCCCTGCATCATTTCTCACCTCCTCAAGGACTTTCGTTCTTAGCTTCCCCTCCATCAATTTCAGTCTCTACATGCATCATTCCTGCCAACACACCAATATCCTTCGTACCTGTATTTGTTCTCCTTTACAGCAAGACGTCTCAAAAGGGTGGTGTTGACTCACTGATCCCACTTCCTCATCTCCAAACTGCCTAGGTCCTAATTCCAGCTGTGCCACTTACTGTGGGCTGCCTTATAGGGCATAGTTAGCCTCCCTGTGCCTCAGTTTACACCTCTGTAAAATGGGGGTAATATTACCATTATCACTTCTATAAAATGAGCAGAATAGTACTTAATGGTTGTGTGTGGGTTAATAAAATTGATGTGGGAATTCAAGAGACAAAAAATTTTTAGTTTTTAAGTTATAGTTAATAGGCTCAGTAATTAAAGCATGTAAAAAGCTATTGTTTCAGGAACTGAAGGTATGACCCACCCTGACTCCTGGAGACAAGCAATTCAACCTTTGTGTCCTGGGAGGACTGCAAGGAATCAAGGTGGTATCTGAGCCATTGTGCTCCAGGAAGAGAGGGAGAAAGGTCAACAGGTGAAAGGATGCTAGGAAAATTGCCTGACTGCAGCTTTTATCTGATTAGCCTTTTCTCTGAATTCCAAACTCCTTACCAACTTTTTTCCTGAATTCTAAACCCCTTACCTACACTTTTCTTCTCCTTATAAAAAGGGTAGGTTTGAAATGAAATACAAGACATTCACTTAGGGTACATAACCTCCCATCTTCTCAGATCACCAGCATATTTATTCATATGCCATAAAGATTTAATACCTGTCTCTACTTATTGACTCTGATGGTGACAGGCAGCACAAACGCTGACTTTTCCAGTTTCAAAATTACATGCACAGCATTCTGAGCAGGGAGGAAATAAATGTTCAGTAAGCATTCGCTATTGGTACAAGCTTCTTCCGTAGAGCTTCTAACCCTATCAACCTACAGAAACTGCTTTTATTAAGGTCATTAACAGTGTCTATCTTGTCTAACTCATTAGTCACTTCTCTCTGTGCTCAAACAATGGAGTTCCTTACTTGCATCTAACCCAGCTGAACAGTCTTCCTTCTCCATCACTCTCCACTTTCAGAACTGCTCCCCACAAACACATACACTATCTAGGCTTCCCTCCCACCTCTTAGACTGTTCCTACTGTCTTTTTTGCAGGAGGCTCTCTCTTCACATAAGAATACTCTTGGGCATAGTTATCTTTCTTCTTTATATTCTCACTTTAGGACAGGGCTTCTCAATCGCAGCAGACCGACATTTGGGGCCAGATAATCCTCTGTTGTGGGGGCTGACCCCCACATTGAAGAACGTTTAGAGGCATCCCTGGCCTCCATCCAGTGGTTGCCAGCAGCAAACCTCCCCCAATCCAGCTGTAACAACCAAAAAAGTTTCCAGATGTTGCCAAATGTCCCCTGGAAGAAGAGATACCAAAAGCCCATTCATAGGATTACTGCCACCATTTTTCGTCTTTTTCAACTGCCACTTTTTCTTCTTTTGAATTTGAACTCTGGAGTTAGTTACTGTTTGGGGAGTTAAGGGGTTTCTTTTTTGTTTGTTTCTTTTTCTTCTCTTTTGTAATCTTTTTGCTTTGTGTTAGGATGCTCTGATCTGACATTTGACGTGAACACAAAGTACTAGATGCTCATTGACTTCTGTCAAATAGGATGGGGAAAATATAACAGTTCTTGGTAAAGTCCATTATAAAAATGGTTTGGTTTTTTTATTTCAAGAGAATCTTTTTTTCCAATGTATGCTTTTCCCCTTTTTGCCCAGTTTCCTTATCACTCGCTGTAGGTGACTTACTTTACATTTATGCAGACTATGTTTCAAGTCTTTTTCATTTAGTAAACTGAAGATTATTGCTTAATAAAAAAATGCAACTTGAGAACTGTCACTCTAAAATCTAGAGTTTAGGTGATTTATTTTACCCCTTGTATCCCAATGAGTCCCAAACTGTACCCCTACATGACCTCTTCACTAAGCTATAGGCTCCACTCAGATGTCTAATTGGCATCTCAAATATAACATAGCTAGTAGAGGACTTTCAATTCACACATGCCCACACCTCCACTCATGTTTATGTTTTAGTCTTCTCAGTCTCAATAAACAGCACCATTAGGCACCTAGTTACACAAGTCTCCATTCCCTGTTTCACTCTGCCCCTCACATCCAATGTATTAGCTCTATGACCTAAATATATTCCAAATCCATCTACTTCTCTCCATCTCAAGGGCAAACATTCTAGACCAAGATATTATCATCTCTTTCCTGAAGATGCAGTTCTTTCCAGCTGGACTTCTTGCTTTCTCCCAACAGTCTAACCTTCACAGGTCTGTAAGGGTGGTATTTTCAAAACACTAAGTTTCTTTGTCTTCACTTCACTTGTCATTATCTGATATTATCACTCATTTGTTTGCTGGCTTTATCACCAGTCTCTTCCCACTGGAATGTATGGCTCATTAGGACAGGGACCTTGCCCTTCTTGTTCACTGCTGTATTGTCACTCAGTGTCCAGGATTTCTGGTACACAGTAGTGCCAAGAAGCATGGGTTGAATGAATAAATTAGTCACCATTCCTGCCTTCACCAATGGGGCCAACCATCTTGACCTGATGCCATACGTATAGATGCCACACGTAGATTTCTCCTTCCAACCTCCCCATTCCCGCCCCCAGTCAGGTCCTATGCCTCTGAAAGCCCTGCTCGGAGGCCATTTGAGAGGTGGTGAGTGTAGGGGAGAGAGGATGGATTTTAGGTCTAGTTCCACAAGTGTGTTAAGCCAACCTAAAAGCTGGCTCCTAACCTTTCTGGCCTATTGCTCAAACCCCACCCTCAAGCCCCAACCTACTTTTCCCCATTAAAACCTCCATCGCTTCATTCACCAAGGGATTGTCTCTGGGAATCCAGGTAAAAACCCAGCCCCAGGGATCAACTTCGCAAGACTTCCTTCCTTCCCAAAGGCAGCACTTTCCCTGGTCAGGAAAGAACTGCCTCTCATGTACTGGTAAAGTGTAGAAGGGATGAAAGCAGACCCTGAACATCACAGCACAGTTCTAAGAGATACAGTCCCATGAGCTCAGATCAGGGGCACTACTAGCCTAGGTGGGTGGAGGACTGAGCACTAACATCCCTTTCAGCACTACTCTGAACTCTGCAGGGTTTAAGATGTTCTGGCTTCATGGTTTGAGCCCTAAGAATATTTTGATATTGCACTTTTACATAAAACCATTACACTACTTTTGAGTTTTTTGCCAAAGTATTTTCCCTAATGAGTTCCATTAAGGCAATTTGATTCTCTAATTGCTTTTCCATATTTCAGACTTAACTAATTCCAATTTTTTCACTTTGCATTTTGTTTAACCAAGATTGTTTCCCAAGATCAAGTCTTTTTTCTGTGAATTTTACAATAAAGGTTTGATTCCTCAATTAGATTTTATCAAATATGATTTCTGCCACTGTGAATTTCATTTGTACTGATTATTTCTAACAAGTCTTGTTTTCCAGGTGACCTGTTCAAAACAGTGGAGTCAAATGGCAAGTTTAAGATATTTCCCTTTGCACTCTTTCAGCGCAGCACAGCTTTTCCTTAACAGACTTTCAGGGTGGTTACTGTTCTTTCAGAGTTAATGGAGCAGGCAGGTGGGAAGGAAGGTCTGAGGGAGCACCTTCTGGGGGTCTGGTTTGAGGGGGTGAGAGAGAGAGACTGAACTTCCCATTAATTGGCCCATTTGGGAAAGCCATACAGCTTTCTAGGTGGCAAGCAAAGCCACCTACTCTCTCTTGCAGGGGAGCAATGTACTAGCACAGGTCTTGTCCCTACACTGACATCCCCCAGGAGGAAGGTTCTTCACCCTTCCTGTGAGGACCTGAACTGTAAACCAGGTGGCTTGTGTATGGCCTCTCTTCCAGTCAGCCCAGAGCAGTCCTGCAGCTGGGCTGGCAAGCTCAGCCCAGTGAGGGCATGTGTCTAAGAGGAAA